CATACCCTAGGGTATGGCGAAGAACAGTTTTCACTGTTCCCAATGAAACACTGCAGATCCAACTCTGCGATTCTACAGTATTGTCTAGTTTTGGATTCACTGGGGACTGACAGAACTGAATTCTGACGGACAGAATTGAAGTTATGACTGACCCTAGGTAGCACAGGCTAAAAATAGACTCAGCGCAAAACTGCAATTCCCAGTATCACTACCTTTCCAGTGCAGAATTCACAGTTCGAGCATCCCAGAATAATCGCAATGCAGTATAGCAGTCACAGGACAATTTTGGATTAAAAAGAGTCAACAAAAGGTTAGAAATGAGCAGAGAGAGGTAGGGGAGAGATGGCTATGGCTGTCATCCAGTCTGCGATTTTCACATCCAGTCACTGACAGACAGATAGACCATCATAATTCACTAATCTAATACTATATGGATCGCAATACAAGTAGGTGCATGGAACGGACTCACTTTCAGAGAATCTTGCAGGTGATGATGAAGATCTGGCTATGGTTGATGATACCCTTATCTCGCCAATTCCTTCTAGATATTCCTCCTGACTCTTCCACGCACAGAACTGCTTCAAACATGTTGATCCTCCTCAAGATCCTATAGCGCTGCACTCCCTCAACTCAGATACAATGGATCTGGTCATGTGGCGCCTAGTATGCCAACACCAAGATATCTCGCCACAGTGCCTGGTAGCCGCTGATGCTAAAAATAGCCCCAGATGGGGTTATTCCTTCAGGAGATTGATATGCCGTGTCAATCTCTGCCAGCGCTACCCAGGGATGCTGCCACTCAGGGTTCCCTGATGTCCTCAGGGGTAATTCGCCACTCTGGGTAATTCGTTATACGACCCTCAGGGTTGGCTATGGCGAATTAGCCCTGTACTCGCCACTTCCTGACAAGCGCCCTGACAGGCTCAGTGCGCTTGCTCAGTGCAACCACTGAACACTTGAATCCACCGCTGATAGTCTTCTTCCCTGCTGACTCAATACTGGGGAAGATGAATCGCCATGAAACTCTCGCCAGTATGTTGCCAGATGAAGAAGATGCCTCAGTGCGCTCAACCCTCAGTGTTCCAATTCCAATCCCATCTCTGATACCAACTGTTATGAACTTGGTTGTCTAACGATTTTTACCGCCACTCACACACAGACAATCTCATACACGCCCATACATGCATAAGAGAAGGGGGAGACGAGACAGAGTCCACACTGCACACAGATCAGCGTAGGCAGCGGAATACAGCTATGCACAGATGGGGAGAAGACACACAGTATTTCTCTCTCTCTGACACACTCCCAACAACCAATCGCAAGTAGATCTGGCGAGGATAACAATTGAAATCACACCGATGATGAGCCACTCAAACAATTATCGTAACAGAGTTTGTTCCAGTATCTCGTCACTCTCAGAACTCACATCCCACTCTCTATCCTACACCCAGTTAGTAGCGCCACATCAGAATGGCCTCCCAGAGGCCAGCGCCAACCACCCTGATGAAGAACAGGTCCTGCGATGAAGTCTTCCGTGTAGATGGACAACTCTGACGAAGGAACAGGCAGCTATGGCTGCCACCACCCACGAGTACACACTGTAGAGCCTCGATGTAGCCCGACCGGACGCAGATACCCCAGGGGTAGATGCGCTGAGGATGCCCCAACTATGGCAGACTCAGACTGGACCGGCTATGGTTGCTGTCAACGACGAGGTCTCAGGATGCCGCCTGCAGACAAACACCACCACCAACTTGCTTGGCTTCTCCAACGCTGCTTCGCGAGAAATGAACTGCCAAAAGTCCTGAACCAATGGGCCTAACCTATCTATCGACTACACTAGACCTAGACCGGAGTGACTGACCGACCGGTACCGTTTCTGTTTCGGCCTTTCGGCCTCTACCGGACCCGGCTATAGGCTATAGGACCGTCTATCAGCATAGGCCACTTAGGGCCTGTCTGTCCGAGGGGTAGCCCGGGCCTGCTATACGCAGTTAGGGTAGCTGTAGGAATTCGAGTTAGTACTGGGCCGATATTTTTCCCAGATTTGCAGATATGTCCCTCACGAATTTCCTTACAGGTAGGTCTCTCGGTTAGCCCTCAGCCAAACGAAATTATGAATCTGACCTAAACTAAGACCCGACCGAGGCGAGCCCCACGCTTCACCCTCGGCCTACTGTACAGTCCACTGAGAATCTGCAGGTTTCATTACAAGGGCGTTCAGCTGCTGCAGGATTTTATCCGCAACAGATCGCCCTGGTGGTGATAAACTATGAGCACATCGCTCTGTGTGTGGTTCATATAGAAGCCAATTTTCCTCCTCGGACTGCGGTGTCCGTCGTTAGTCTGGCAAGAAAGAGGGAGATCCATCAGCGGTTGCCGTAGGTGTATGACCAACACCGCATGTGGGACATGCTAGGAGAGGATGTGGAGGGTGATGGCACCGGGGATAGTCCACGCAGTAAAGACACATACTTTCTATGACAGCTTCCTGGAAGCACTGACGACACATGGCATGTTGCTGACATGTCATTAGTATGGAAGGCTGACGTGCACAGTTATTTAAGCATGGCAGATCAAGGCCACAACGGCAAGCTGGGCAAGTAATCAAGGGTTGGGGGGGATGAGCACAGGGCAGGGGATCACAATTTTCGTGTGAGAGGCTAGCAGCGACCATCCCTTCATAGTGTTCGGAGCAGAGGCTACGTCGTATACATGCCAACCGAACTGCACCTGTGCGATGACACAACCGGAGGGCACAGCCATCATCCTGTGGAGAGGTCCTTTCACTGTTTGTGGTAGAATCAGCCGGATTGCTCTCCGGGGGGTGCAGTGCTTGCAAGTGCTCATCGACATACTGTTCCTGATGGACGAGCCAGACTGAGTGATCCTCCAGCATTTGGTGATAGAAAGAGTTAATTTTTCCCACTGTGTGCACCCTACCGCCATTGTCCCATAGGGTCCATGAATTATCTGCAAAGGTAAGAGCACTGAAATGACCTGGACGATATAAGATATATGCCCGAACATTGGTGATATATGCCTGGCACGTGGTTTTGCAGAGCAGGCTGGAATTCCTACCCATAAATGCCATAGCCAGGACTTCTATGTTCACACCAGGCGCAGCGCTGTCATCATCTGGGCAGACGGCACGGTGCTCTTCTTCTGTCCAGCCAACAACGTCTGTGAAATCAGAAACCGTATAAGGATTACAATTGCAAGCAAGGAGACATACATTAATGGCATAGTACGCACAGCGCCCTCGCTGTAGCGTTATGACATTGTCTAATTCCGAAGGTTGCTTGGGGGATCCATTCACGGCAGGGGGATCCTCGTTTGATTCTGCAGGCTGCACAGGTGGCGGAGACTCGTTGTGGTCTTGACGAATTGGCTCCAGTATGTGCTCTGGAGAAAGATGATCTTCAACTGGGGGCTCCATCAGGTAATCAGGAGACGGGTCATTGTCATTTGGGGCAGGGGAGCGAGCAGGGCTAGGTGGATGAGAGAGGGGCGGGTCAGCTGGGAGAGAACTGGGTGGACCAGATGTGGGAATCGGAAGCTGATCAGCCTCACTTGTGCTCAGGGTGGCTGCTAGTCGTGCAAACGCTGCACAAGTAGCTGCACCTCGTGTCTCGTGCACTCGTACGCCTGCAGCACTGAAGAAATCACCGCCACATTGTGGGCATCGGACTCGATGTGCACTATTCCTCGCTAGTGTATTCTGAAAGCGACGATGTTGTTCCGTACGGTTGCGAGCATGTCGTCGGAGCAGATCTCTAACCCCTGCAGGGGCCGCGGTGATCATGGCATTCAACGACAAACGAGGCCGCTGTCTTGGAGGCTGCTGTGGAGACGGGGAACGTCTCTGCCGAAGAGGCATCTGTAACGATCGTTCTAACAACGGATACTTCGGCCGACAGGGCCTTTGTGACAGCCGATCTGACCACGAGTGCGTTCATGATGATGTCGATGATGAGGAAGTGGAGGAAGAAGTAGGGGAAGAGGAAGAAGAAGAAGATGCAGATGACTGAGAGGATGCTGCAATAGAGGACGTCAGTGGGGGTGGCAGTGATGATGGTGGTGGTGTTGCTGATGACGATGGCAGTGATGGCGGTGGTGGTGGTGGTGGTAGGGATGGTGGAGGTGGTGGTAGGGGTGGGGGGGGGGGGGGGGGGGGGGGGGGGGGGGGGGGGGGGGGGGGAGGGGAGGGGGTGGAGGCCGCGGTGGCAGCAGTGGCGGTGGAGGAGGTATACCTTCAGCAGCAGCAGCAACAACAACAGTCGCTGCATTGGTAGGATGCTGGCCTTCATCCCTTACAGCCACTTCGGTAATGTTCACATTGTTTAATGCGGCTGGCATGGTCTCTGGCTGAGTTGGCGTACGGACATCAGCGTCTGCCATTTCAGCAGGGATAACAGGGGAGGGCGGGTCGTCTGTGTTTGATTGTGCGGAGGGCGGTGTGTGTGTGTGTGTGTTTGTATGTGCCGGTAGGCTATGTGTATGTTCGTAAGCCGTATTTTTGTGTATGGGCCCGATTTCCTAGCAGACGCTGCTCCCCACCATCGAGCATCTGCGAAGTGAGTACTGTTGAGAGGTGCTCTTATCACCCTCACCCTCAGCAGTACATATGTGTGCCTTTTTAAGCTTCGGGTATGTAGTATGCGAAAGACTATGTGCTGCCATCGGTAGGAACAAGCGTTGGGCGAAACATGTAGGCAGGTGCAGGAAGAGTGTGGTTGTCGGCTAGGCTTTTCCATCGTCGTTGCTTCATCACGTCCGCGTCGACGTCCATCTCTATGTCAAGCTTCATGTTACTTTGTTTTCGTAATAATACCTTGACCTTTTGAAATTGCTTTTCTGTTCTGAGCGGTCTTTTTGACTTTCGTTTAATTCGATATTTTTTATTTCCTCACGGTGTTGCCAACGTGTACGAGCCATGGTACAATGTTGGTCAGGTCATGAACCTGTTCACAACCACCAAAGACGGCAGGGAGACTTACCGCATCCTTCTTCTCCTCAAGATCGAGAATGGCTCTCGCCTGTATCTGCCAGTACATCGACGACTGCACTCCAACCTGGGACACCCACATTCGCCCAGGGATAGGGCACGGGATCCGCTCGCTGCAGACAGTAACAGAGTGCCACAAAAAAAAAAAAAAAAAAAAAAAAAAAACGTTGACAGAGTGAGTATCAAGGACACAGGGGAAGAAATTGGCAAAAAAAAAAACAAAAAAAAAGGAGTGAAAAAAAGGGGATGCAAAACAACAGATCATGTGGACACTAGTCACACT